ACTGGCAGTCGGTATGTTTGTAATTTTAAAGTTTTTTTTTGTAGTCGTCGTTTCATTTTAATTTCTTTTCTTCTCCTTCCACTTATTTAATTTTTCCAACACTCTTTTTTGCTCCCTTTCCTGCAGTAAATGGCGACGCTTGTTCCTTGTTAACTGATTGTTGTTGAATTGCGACTAAATGATGTTTTTACGCCTTTTAGCGATATGTTCAATGCTTGACCTAAGCAACAGCTGTCTAATATATACATTTTTTTTTGAGTGAGCAAATGTTCTTAATGTCGTCCCTGGTCCGTTTTTCGCAATCGCTTAATAATTCCGATTATATATCGAATATTATGAAATTTAAAGAAAATTTTTAGATTATTCATATATTTTTTAGTAAAAAATTAAGCCACACGATTACTTCGGGAGTGCAGGAAATTTAAATGTCAATTTTTCTTTTAAAAAATTTGGTAAACATTTTTTTTTTAATAACACCATTTATAATTCAATTTTTTGATTTTTAATTAAATTTTAAATAATCACTATTGCTATCACTATTTGCACTATGTGAATATTATTTCATTTATATGGGAACCCTAAAATATTTTTATAGGTACCTATACATACACATACAAAAATTAATGTCATATAAGAATAAATTTCATAGGGCTCAGTGTTACTAATACTTTACACAAGACTAACAAACACTTTTTTTTATATTAAATATAATTTTAAATTGTAGAACATCTTATACAAATAGGCACCATAGAATTCAGGAACTTTAACAGCTATACATAATATGTATAGCTGTATATGTATGTATATATAGAATGAGGATGTTTATTTGGTACAAAATATAAAATTATAAAAATGCTTTTTTAAACGGAAGAGTTAAAAGGATGTTTGAAATTTTTCTTTTTTATTTTTTTTTTTAATTTTGCGTTTAATTTTTTTATTTTTTTTTTTACTTGTATAAGGCATTAAATTGCTTAAAAATTTTTTTTTTATTTTTTCATCACGAAAAAATAGAATTGTAGCAAGAAGAAAAAGAAAAACAAGAAACAAAAGTGGTAAAAAAATAAATCTACCCTTTCATCAGGATTAAAAATCCGCTTGAGAATTTTTTTATCATTTTCAGCAAATTTCTCTTCCGCTTCATATCCTTTTATATGTAAACAAAAATATTATACATAATTGTATGTTATACAGGTACAGGAACCTATATGCACATATGAAAATGTAAAAAAAAAAAGAAAACCAGATATCCTTTCAATATCACGTATAAAAGTGAATTTAACCTTGAAAATGAAATACTAGCATAGAATTTTAAATACCAATTCACTGAAAATCGGAAAAATTCTATCTATACCCGCTATACATATAAATAGAATCCTGTTAAAAGAAAAAAAATATTGTGTTAGGATTGTTGCTGTTTTTTTTTTTGTTGTTTCTTTCTTTTTCCGATCATACCATTTTCATCTCATTTATGTGCCAATAAAATGCTTTTTTTTTATATTAAAAAGGTGTCACAAATTAAGGTGATTATTTAAAAAAAAAAACACATTCATTTTATACGTCAAATAAATGCTGAAAGGTGCAATGAAAGGAAAATTTTATTTTTTAATTTTTCATTTCGCATTTGCAATTTATTTGATTTTTTCATATTTTTTTACAAAATATTTTATTTTTAGCATATTTTTAACATTTTGAAATAAATTGTACCTATTGTACCTATATATGTACCAAGTGTACCTATATACATGTACCTATATACATACATTTACATGTGTTTGTGCGTTCATGTTGTGTACAAATTTATGTAATGCGAATTTTTTTTAAAAATTATGAGCTACAAAATGGATTTCTTAAACTTTTGCAGCCAAGTTTGTTGTGAAGTCTTAAATATTTTAAATATAATAAATATTTCCATTTGATATCGGAGCCATTTTCGGATTCAAAAAGGTGGCTTGAAAACTTTAAAAAATTTAAAATTTTACAGTTCTTCAATAATGTTATTCAGTTCTTTATTATAACTAGAAAGGCAAGGGTAATTACTAGATGAATGAATTGTAGAAATTCACTTTAATTTTTATTTACAAATAGCTTTCTCGATACACTATAGAAAATAATTAACTGCAATATTTAATAAATACTATAGTAGGCTCTTGCCCGGGGTTCAAAAGGCCGGCTATAAAGAGCCATGTAGGTATAACAAAAAGGTATACACAAATTGACGTACCTCCACATTTTTCATCTGGAAATATTAAGCTTGAACAATGCTAGTAATATTGTGTAGCTACCTTTCTTTACCTTAAAATCGGTTGAGAAATGAAAGAGTAAATCGCCAAGTAAAATTTGTATGGAAGTCTTTTGAACGGAATTATTATAAGATAAAACTTTACACATAAATGAATGCAATAAGAAAAAGTTGTAAGAAATTTTATATAATCTAACATTTGGGATTAATTATTATTAAAATTATTATTTAATTAAATAGAATTTAACTATAAAGACAGTAAATCGAATTGAAATTGAATTAACAACAATCTAACATAATTCTCATAGTTTCAGTAGGTTTAATGTGCTCAATTCATATAGTTAATCAGAAATGGCGAAAACAACCTAAGTATACTGATAAAGTGAATCATTTAAAATTTAAATCAATAAAATCAAGTATGTGTGTATATTAGCTCTAATTAATGACACATAACACATAGTGCCGCAGAGAACAGACAAATTTTCCTATATTAATGAATTTTTAAATTACAAAACTGGATTCCAGACAGACATATTTTTTTAAAATTTATTTACTCTTATGCTTATTTTCATTTTTATTACTCATAAATATTATACATTTTATTAATTTTTGTACATATTATGTATGTAAGAACATTTTTACTAATCATATACAAATTACTAAAATTATTTAAATATAATTCATTGGAATTTTATTAATGAAATGGCCTGACTAAAAGATAAGCTCATTATCACTAGCCGTGTCAGCTTTAAATAATAATTATATATTTATGTGTGCATTTTATCAGTTATTAAAATGGTTTATCCTTAATAGTAATAAACAAAGCAACTTATTAAAAATTTAATAAAAAGAACTTTGAACTGAAACTTTGCAATCTTAAAAAAAAAATCAATAAAATAATAATAATGACGACGGCTTTAACTAAATTCTGTTTACTTAATATAATCTATAATATTTTAATATATTTTTCTATTATATTATTTTATTTGAATACGAAATATCTCTAAAATATATTTACATGTTATATTAATAGAAAAATTTAATCAATCTCTTTTGAATTATTAGAATGAATTAGAATCTCTATATGTCAATAAATAAATAAATGTTATTCTCACCCTATTTTTAATTATTTTGATAATTTTAAAGTATATTTGTCTAAAATACCTAATCCTAATCCAAATTCTAAAAAAAATATAATAAGAACCATATTTCATTGCCAACAACTTTTAAACTTGCAACCTGCACACACTAAATTATTTACACTACAAATGGGGGGGGAGTCGAACATAAAGAAACTGGAAGCGCAATTATTTAACTTCAAAATCAATTTATTTTCTAATCTTTATCACATTTTTCCGGTTTGTCAAATTTTACAGTTGCCAAATTTTGAAATTCTAAAGTTCATCCTTAACGTGTTAAGGGCATTACAAGTGATACTACAAGAATAGAATATTTACTATAAGAATAGAATAACTAGTATCTTATTGTTAGCAAAGTAAGGCCAAACTGCATGAATTGGCACAGTACCAAACCGAAAATTATGCAAAATACTGCACAGTCGGTACTCATTTCAAAACAAAAATTAAAAAAAAAAAATATTGTACAAAAATCTCTATACTAATATAATGCAAACCTTTTTGTTTCTGTCGCGAAACTAAAAATATTGATTGAGTTCATGTTTAAAGTTCTGAGTTAGAAAGGCAGTCGAAGTCCATATATGCTTCAAAAAGCAGTCCGTTTTATTTTGTATTTTTTCGAAAGTTTTGCCACAAAATTTGCAATGAAAGAATTAATACCATACTTCAGTGTAGCTGTTTGTCTGTTTTGTATTTTGACAATATTTACTTTAATTATTTTGTAATTTTTTTTCTGAATAGGTAATAGAGTTGTAGCTCAAAGCATATAAAAGCTAAGTTGACAAGATCTTGTCTACATTACAAAAACATATTATAATTGCAGTGACACCTATGATTTAGTGATGGTATTACTATAATTGTTTTGTTTATGAAATTCATTTCCTAAAATCAAAAAAAAAATATTTTTTAATTATTTTTTGTTAAAAAAAAATTAATAATAAATCATTGCAGTTTCCTTTTTGCCCTATATATGTATATAGCTGTCATTTTATTACTCTATTAATTTTGATGATGATTATAAAATTTATTATATATGTACTCGGAAACATAATAATATTATCTCTTCAACTCAAAAATACACACATACATATGTAAATGAAAATCAATTACGGAAAAATAATTTGACGTTGCTCCGATCATTCTATGAGCACACGACGTTTGCACGTTTGCTGTTCAAAATATTTTTGACATTGAAAAGATATTTTGGAAATTAAAAAAAAATATATAGATTAACAATCTACTGTATTATTTATATTATAAATATATTTACATATATTTTCATATAAATTACCTATATATAAATATAATCAGTGTATACATACATTAATTTCGTATATAAAAATTATTTTAAATTATCTCTATATAATTATAAATTTATTTTGTAGAACAAATTTTTAAAGATTTATTTTAAATTTTTTTACCCGTATAATAGTTTCTAAATATTATTGAATTAATTTAATATAGAGAAAAAATATAATATAATTTATAGAATAATATGTATAATTCGATTTTACATATATTATTGATACCTACATACATACATACATACATATATGTACATATAAGAAAAATTAATATAGACATTATTTTAACAAATAAACTAAATTAATTAAATTAAATTTGAGTCGAATAGAAAAATAAACGAAAAAATTAATTAACAATGAACATATTAAAAAAAAAATTTTGTATATATATATGTATATTCTCATATATACATACATATAATAAATTCTAATATAATGCATTATTTAGTACTGTATTAGTTTTTTGATGTACCGAATCAATAACAGATGAACCAATTTTAACACTTGTACTTGTTACAGCACCAAACATTCTTCCCATAATACCTTTTGTCATAATATTATTTTTACCATCATTATTTGTATTCATTTTATTCATTTCATCAATATATTGTTGTTCTTGTGCTCTTTTACCAACTAAAAAATTTAATAAAATTTTATTAAATTCGATTGAGGCTTGCCTATGTGGCCAATGACCGCATGCTTCAATTATTTTAACAATTGAATTATTACAATAATCTGTACTTTTAATAATTGATTCTAAACGATAATAATCATCTTCATTACCAGTTATTAATAAAACTGGACATTTAATAATACAATTTTCTTTAATACGATAAAATGGAAATGATCTATAATAATTTAATGGTCCAGTCCAATCATTACGTCTACTAAATATATATTTATAACAATCTTTTAAATTATCTTTTGTATAAATTTGATCAAAATTTTTACCATCAAATATTAATTGATTATTTATATTATTTAAATATAAATTATTTATTAAATTTGTATTTGATGTTGATTTTTTTGAATATAAAATTTTTGATGCTGCTGTTGTTGTTGATGATTTATCTAATAAAATTTTTGATAAACATTTTTCTAAAAAATTTGAATATCTTGATGAATGATCTAATTCTGGTATATATGGTAATTGAATAAATTTTAACCATGTTCTATTCATAATACATTTTGTATTTAAATTATCCCATATTAAATTTGGATGTGGTGTACTTATACATATAAAACGTTCAATATTATCTGGATTTGTATGTGCAAAATACCATCCAATTAATGCACCTAAATCATGTCCAATTATTGTTGTTGTATTATAACCTAATGAAAATATAAATTGTTTTAATTCTTCACAGATTTTTTCTGGTTTATAAAAATTTCTCCAATTTGGTTTATCTGAATCATTAAATCCTTTTAAATCAATTGATATTACATGAAAAAATCTTGATAATTCAATAATTTGTTTATACCATCCTAACCAACAATCAGGGAAACCATGTAATAATATTATTAATGGATTTTCAATATTACCACATTCAACATAATGAAATTTAACACCTTTTAATTTAATATATGAATGACGTCCAAGTTTATTATCAACTAATATTTGTGGTGGTTTATTTGGATAATAATCATTATTAATTGTTGAATAATAATAATAATTATTTAATAATTCTAATGATTTTTGATTTTGTTGATGATATTGTTGCTGCTGTTGTTGTTGTTGTTGATTATTTTGATTACGATTAAAATGATTTTTTGATGCTATTGTTATATTATTCCATATAAAAAATAATAACCATTTTATTAATATCCATACACCAATACATATTGATTCAATATAAAATAATATTAATTGACGTTTTGGTAATGGCTCAATAACATTTGAATAATTTTGTGCTGGAATAAATTGATTTTTAATGAACATTCTATCACTCATGATGAATTCAATTGAGCGACGATCTTTTATATGAGAATTATTTTTACAAATAATTGCAGTTAATTATTTTTTAAATATTTATAATTAAATATTTAGGAAAAAACCAAATCGAATTTTATCGCATTTAATTTTCTTAAATTATTTTTATAATTAAATTTGAATTCACGCTACGTATTCATCGTCTCAAATATTGTACTGCACTAACGAATTAGTTAAAACTCGGTTGATATGGCCATTCAATTTGTATATACTTAGTTCTGTATAGTAATCTAAACATATTATCTCTATACTTTATTAATTGACCGTTGCTCAGGTCATAATATTTTGTGTAAATATATATATTTAGTATTAATGTATGTTCACAAGTAATTACATTTGAAAAAAAAAGTTTTTTAATCTCTTTATTAATAAAATAATATGAAGAGTGTACAAGACTCGATGAGACTGTCAAATCTGAGTGATGGAAATTTGTCAAGTTGAATAAATTTGGTAAACTAATTTTAAAACTCATGACTGATTTTCTAATGGCGTATTATAAACCTAAAAGCCTTTTTCAATTATTAAATTTTAAAAATTTTTCTAAAAATTTTTCTTTTACCCTCCATTTGCTTCAAATCTTTAAAGCAAAATAACTAAGCCAAATCGTACACCCTGTAGACATATATACATACATAATATATATATATATGTGCATATATTATAGTATATATTTGAGCTGTACATGATTTACTCAAAATAATTTCCTAATATTGTTGATAGGAGATTATAATTATACTCGACACATTTAATCGTACCAATGATTTCAAAACTGTACGTAATGAAATTGCTGTGTTAATTAACAATTCTATTCACAATTAAATTTTATAAAATGCAATGTTTTATTCTGAAATATAATGTAAATCTTTGAAAATTATATGAATCTATTACAAAATTATGCGAAAATATATACCCCTGGTATTTTAGCAAAATACACAATGTGGGTACACAAATATGCAAATTCATAATTCAATAATTTTTAACAAATCAGCAAAATGAATACAATTCTATAAAATTTAGTAAAATTAATATTCACTGTTATACTAAAAACAAAAACACATTCAAACTCCTATCCGATTAGTAATATTATCACCAGATATCGCATTAATACATACATGCGAACATATGTATATTAAGCATGTGTACATTCAAACAAAATATTCTGAAATAACCCAAGTTATTATCAAAATTTTGTTATATACTCATTTAATGATAAGAAATTTTATGTATACATTATATTTTTAAAAATTTAAAAACTTATATACATATATTTTCAATACGCATACATACTTAGTATATTAGTAATTATGATATTTATCAGTATATAGTTGTCGTATGTCGTGACTACATAACATTCCTAATATGATATTATGTTTGATTCTATTCGACTTTGAACACTTTCAATAGAGATGACGACAAAATTATTTATTTTTTTTTTTTTACATTTAAAAACATAACAATTTTCAAGAAATTCAATCATGCTATAGTTTTTTTTTTCATTATAATTATAATTACTAATATAATAAACAAAAATTTTTATATAAGGTTGCCAATCTTAAAAAATAACACAGGAAAGATTCTAAATAATATTGAACATAATATTATTACAATGACTATAGAAAACTTCTATACAATTAAATACAATTATTTAAATACAAAATTAAAAACCTCAGGAAATGCAATGTAGTAGTCAAGCAAAAATCTGTATAACAGTATAACAGTTCTTATTCTGAATAACAGTCTAACTGCAATCGATATTTTGCAGTATACTTATGCTAAATAATTTCATTTTTTATTTTGTCTAGAAAATCTCATTATCAAACTTGCATATACATAAGTGTTTTACAAACTTAACCATTTTTCCGAAATTGTTATACGTATGTTTTTCGTCATGATTCGAAGTGAATTAAAATTTTCTAAATACCTCCGCCCCAATTCTCGGTTTGAATTCAACTTTAATATAATGAAATTTCTCGCAATTTTCCGCAATAATTTTTATAACACAATTTAATAAATTTTGAGTATAGCACATATGTAACCATAATATATATAGTGAACGATATAAATAATTAATTAAGTGAAAAATAATATGCAATCAATTAAATTTAGGTCATTCGAAACAATTATACTTTAAAAATTATTCACCATTCAATTAAAGTATAAGAAATTTTTTTTTTGCAAAAAATATTTCAAAATAATTGAAAAATTATTATTAAACCTGCAGATAATTCCCTTAACAAAATATACACATACATATAATGTACATACATATATGTATATCCCATATGTGTATGTATATAACTAAATATCTCAATTAGAAAAAAAATCATTTTCTTTTTTTCTTTATTCTGGCAAATTGCAGATGACATCAAAAGCCATTAAAACCAAATGGTCATACTTTGCACGCTATTTTGGTTTTTTTGTTTTTTTTTATTTCTTTAATTTTGCTCTCTTTTATTTTCTCCAATAACTAGGTCGTATAAATTCACCCAATTCATGTTTTTATTCCTAGTTACACTTCCTGTTCTTTTTTGAAACTAGCAATTTGTGAAAAAAAAAACAAAAATCTAATAAAAACCAATTGTTTGCTTTTTAGCATTAAATTTTATTTCAATGATAGTGTATGGTGTATCTCTACATACATTCATATATACGAGTATAGTTTGATATTAAGGATTTAAAAACGGAGACAAGTACGACACAAGATCCTGCCGAAAACGACACACAAATACATAATAGAATGGAAGCAAATAGTGCAGAATAAAATATATGTATAAATTTATGTATGTATACATGTGTGTGTATGTAGAACCTGATAGAACTTTAATAATTGTAACATTTTCATCCTTCTATTCTATTTCTTGTACATTAAATTTTTTTTCTTGTTTTCCTTGTTTTTTCTTTGTGTACATTGTTCATGAACCTCTCTTTGTTATAAAATAAATACAATAAAATGCACATTTTATAATTTTTAATATAAAATAGAAATATAATATATTTTATAAAAATGGTTCTATTGTTGCATTTCCGAACATATTGTTTCTCAAAAATATTGTTCGTAAAAACAACACAATATACATATACAAAATTAATTGTTAAATATATTATAGTTATTCTCTAGTATACAAAAAAGGATATAACAAATTGACAGGTTTCATTTTGATAACACGACAAATTCTAATACTTATTTTATAACAGAAATATTTCTGTTTAAATATCTAGAAAATTTTTTGCTCTAAAGTTTTAAATTTTCATTAAATTGTATAGATTAATATTGGGCAAACATTATTGTCGCTTATTGCTATATTTAAAACTGTTCTACTAATATGGTATAGAATTTTTTACTAATTCTAATGTGTAGGTAATAATTAAAATTTTGCATTCTATAATTCTGTAAAAAATCACCAAAAAATGAATAATCTAATTTTTGGGAAATTTTAATTGATAATGGAGAAAGAATTCAAATTTGTGCCAAAATTTAGTTAGATAAGTTAAAAGAATTTTCTTTTGAATAAAACGGAATGAGAAAAGTGCCAATCCATTTTTAAAATTTTCTAATCGTCATACTGAAAAATTACAATTTCAAGAATATTGTGTTTCTTTCTTAATTTGCACAGCCATTTAATTTATATTTTGGATAAATCGTAAGAGTTGGATTGATTCTATTGTTTACATGATTCCATGAATTAAGAAAGTTTTTGTGATTGAATTCAAATTTCATAAAGTGCCGAGTTCTTAATGCAAATTCGCACTTCTCTATGTTATAAAAACGCAAAGGAATTTTTTTTCGTTCATCTGTGATAGACGATATATAAGAGTTTGCTTGGAGTTTCTCTATGAAAGATAAACTAAGATTTATAAGCTTTGTATACAATCTACATATAGAATTTCTGAATGTTCTGATTGCATAAGATTTCTTCGTCCAATCACCTTATATTAACAAAATTCAAAAGACCGACCATAATTTTTTAAATTTTTTTTGTTATTGCTCTTTCATATAAGTGTGACAATTTACTAGTTGGACATTTGATCAATTTTATTGATTGTGAAAATTATCAATGACATTTTTGTATAAAATAAAAAGAATAGCAAAAAAAAAAAATGAGCAAAATCTATGAAATATGTAGCGGGGGTGGATTAACGTTAACACTGCTGAAACCTCCGTACTTATTTATATAAGCTATTTTACTTATTTATTGTTTTTGTATTTCAATATAAAGATGACAATTAAATGATTTTAATTTTCTACTTTTGTTTAAAATTTTATACTTTATAACAATAAAAATTCTTTGACCTATATATTAGTTATACAGAAACGTACACGTATAAAACATCTAACTATAAATTAATACATAAAAATAACCTCCCGTCAACTCTTCTTTCATTTATTTGTGTTACACACTGAAGTTAATTGATCCTGAATAAAGAATTTTTTTTTTTTCAAAATTCACCAATTTAATTGGTTTTTCTCTTTTCTCTCAGTCTTTTAAATATTCCTAAATATTTATACGAATTAGTTAAAATGTTTTACTTATTTTTAAATTTTTGTTTTCTTTTTAGAATGATAAAGGGCTACAGAATGAAAAGAAAGGGATTTTTAAAACATTACTTAATGTCAAATCTGTTGACAAGGATATAATAAAGGAAAACAAAAGTAAAACAATAAAAAAGGACCTGCATCATTAAAAATATTCTCTATAATTTACTTTTAAATAAAGTAATTTTATGTAAAGAAATTATATTTGAGAGGAGAAAATGTAATTCTATTTAAATAGAATGACAAAAAAAAATTTATTGTATTGTAACTGCAAGGCAGATTAAATATACCCAATATTTGCAACCATATGTGAGGAAGACATTATGCTGAATAGGAAGACCTTATGTAGGTACGAAATACAATAAAATGATTTCATTTTTAAATTAAATTAGATTAAAAATTCATGTTTTTATAAATTTAACTTAACTCTTACAATTAATATTAATATGATCTCAATGAAATGGATGTTGATTTTCAATGACAATGTGATAAATTATCGAGAAACCAGAGAGATAACAAATTAAAATGGAATGCGTGTCATATAGAAAGAGAGTCACCCTCTAATTTTGGTTTATTACATAGAGTGTGTATTACAGAACATTTATGTTTATTATTTTGAAATATAAGTAATAAACTCACTTTGCAATTCCAAATAATTTAAAGAAATAGATATACATACAAATAAAAGTACATAATATTCATAATCATTACAAATTTTGATAATTACGAGTACTCAATGTGCCTTAATGTTTCATGGCTCTTTTAGAAATTGGAAGCCCAAAAAAAAATTTGCTTTTAATAATTAAGTCCAATATTAATGAGCAATATTTTATCAATGATTTAATTTACAGATTTTACATTATCAGAATTTTCTTTGACCTTAATATTGGTATACTAATTAATTATTGGAGTTTGAAACTCTAAATTGTTTATTACCCCAAAATTAAATGGTAACAAAATTTTTTACTTTAATAATTAAAAACCATTAAAATTTTAATATCAACTTATATAGTTTTAGTATAACTTTTATAAATTTAATTGTTTCCTAAGATATGTAAAGAAATACATTAATAAAAATATCTTTTTAATTTGTTTGATTGGATCAGTTGGTTTAAATTTTGATTGCATCACTTCTTAGACACAATGGATTAATGTGATCGATTGCTTTTTTAATTAATTGTTCTAAATTATAAAACTACAATCCTGTCTGTATCAATAATTATTGTTTCACATAATCTTTAATTAAGATTCACGCAAACGATTTTGAATCATAATAACCAAGATCGTTACAAATTGATACATTAAACTAATTAAACACATTTAATAAAGTTGAGTTGATAAAAACCCGCATAATCAAAATAAATGTATATTTAAGTACTTAAATATACATATTTAATACAATTAACATATTTGTATGTATCTACATTTATATATTGATTAATGATTATTATTATAATAAATAGTTATATTCATAAAAAGAACCTAGCTTAATTATAAGATCCATCGTAATTATTTTACTGGCGAATCCACTACTTAAAAAAGGGATTTGTACTTAAGTGAAGCTAAGTTCTTTTATCGAATTTGAAGTAGAAAAGAAATTTTGTCGAATTTGTTAGAGCTACATTTCTTTTCCCTTACAGTGTGCCTTATCATTTGTAAATTAAAGAAAATATTAAAGCTCTCAGTTGCTCTTTACACTAACAGTGAATCACAAAATATAAAAAAGAAAACTTTTTTATTTTAATAATAGAATTTTAATAGACAAAATATATTTGTTCAATTTTATTTATAAATACATAATTTTGTTTACATTACACTATTTCAGATTAAACTTACATATAAAAATCATCAATTATATAATGGCATCCATTTTTTTAAGAAATAAGAAAACTACTTAAAAATTTATACTAAATACATCATTGGATCATTTAAAATCAATTTAATAAAATCTATTCCGATTGGAAGTTCTTTAATTGCAAAATTTGTAAAATCTGACATTGGTGGTGTAGCAATATTTTTTATGGATAATTCATCTATTCTAGAGATTTTAATGATTATAACTTTTGATTTGATTTGTTTCTCTTTTGAATAATATCTGTGATTTTTATGAATTGCAACTTTATCTCTAAAAAAAAGAACAGAAATATGCAACAATCAATAAAAATTGTTAATTTGTGTATAAAAGTTTGTAGAGTGCATACTCAAAATGTTTTAAATCGGCTTCATTCAAAATTATAACTTCTATTAACTCTTGAACTTTCTGCACTGTTTCCGTTACCAAGGCGTTAAAATATTTTAAACAATCAGGTAGATGTTTTAGCTTTGAATATTTATTATAAAGTGATTCATTTGATGGAAAATTTTTCGATAGTTCCAAATACATTAATTTATCTTTAGGTGACCAACAATCTGTAACAAATATAAAAAATTTAAAATGATATACAACAATACATCCGCATATTCTAATGCGCATCAATCACATGTTGTTTTAGCAATATTGTGATTTTTGTATTTTAAGTAAATTTTAAAGAAATATTTTAAGTTTATTACCTTCCGAATATATGCAACTTTCCCTGGCAACAATTTTATAAAACTTTTTATTATAATCTTCAAAATTTAAGGGACAGCATTCAATTACCAATTCAAATATCGGACATTTGGAGTGTGTTAACATTATAAAGTTGCTATTATAGAAGCTGCGTACTTTTAGTTTCCAAAAGTCATTTATGCTGAAAATATTAGAAATAAATTTATAAAATATCTAAATATTCTAAATTTAATAACTTATAAGAAGCAATATATCTTACATAGGGAATTTATTTTTCAACTGTATTTCAAAGTTATTTATGAAAGGAAAGCAATTTTTAATTTGTGTTTCTGTTATACTGCGTGCATCCCTAAATATTAAAAAAATATTAAGTACATATTTTTTAAAATGATTCCAAACTTACAATTTTTCATTGTCAATACCAGTGAAATTTAGTGAATACTTTTCAATTTGTCGTTTTTCATCTGCATGCCATACATCTGCTATAGTTGGTAAATTTTTAAATTTATCTAAAATTGAAAAATCTATTGGCTTAATAGGGTTACATTCTAATTTAAAATTTTCAAAATTCGTAGCGTCAATTGAAAATCTGCACTTTCTACATCTGGAACAAGAAAATGAATTTGAAAAAAGGTCTTTTTTAGGTTCACAAGAGATCTCTCTAAGTTCTTGTTTTTCATTTGCTGTGCTTGTACAAGAGTTTTCCGCAGAGCTCTGCACTAAACTAAGATTCGTGTTTTCAATAGTGTCACGAAAACTTTCATTTTCATTAAAACAACTCCTAAATTGATTTGCACTAAGAACCGAAACTCTCATTGAAGAATTGGTATTATTCGTTATTGTTTTCCTTTTGCTTAATACATCTTCAGCAGTTTTAATAGTTTTTTCTGGAAAATTTTCACAATCGTTCAAAGCATCGTTTTGTTTCTCATCGAAATTCAAATTTCTTCGATAACTTTTAACCGATTTCTCACTATGATGAATTTCATTTTCTTGCGTTTCTGATGTTTTCATTGGTGAATTTCTCAAATAAATTTCTTTTCGTGGGCTTTTACTAATTTGCTTGCTAGATAAGAATAATTCGTTGTTGGATCCTGCTACTGGTTTATTAAGTGATGAAATTGCATGATTGGGACTTGCAATTTTAATAACAGGAATGGGCTTTGAAATTTCATTTAATAATGGTGTAGGTAAATTCGATAAAAAAGACGTATTTGTTTGTTCATGTACTGGACTGAATACTTGTATCTTTGTATCACCATCAATATTTTCTATTCTAATAATATCCCCTTCTTCCTTTTTAAGTATAACTTGATTCGGTTCATTATTAATTAAGTTTGATATTTCATTCATTAAAGCAAAATTTATTTGATTTTTTGTAAGTTGTTCTGGTTGACAGTTAATTGAACTTGCTTCAATCGAGTAATCTAGTGCTTTAATGCCGGTCAACTCCAAATCATTAAATTTATTATAAAGTAAAGTCTTTTGAAAATGTTCGTCTTCTTTACATTTTAATTTTAAAGTTGTCTCTTTTTCAGGTTTTTCACTTATATAGTTTTGTTCAATTTCATTGGTGCCACCACCCTTCTTCTTATTTTCAATATTTTCATCTTTTTGTGTTATTTCAAATTTATTGCTAATTGAATGTAATTTATTACTTCGTTTCAGAAACGGAGCCTCCGGGGGAGTACATTTGTGAACATTTTTAAATTGACTAAATTCCTTTTCGTTCGTCTTTTCAAAATTCGATACTTCATTTTTTCGAAGATAGCTTAAAGATTTTTTACTTTTATTCATTTTATTTGAATCTTCGCCATTAAGAGAGATCGTGGGATGCAGTTTTTCACTAAAATATTTGGAGGGGTTACCTAATTGATGCAACATCATTTCAGTGTTATCAAGATCCTTAAAATTGCTTGACACGCAGTTAACAGTTGGAAAGCTTGCACTTGCTTCAGGAGTAAAATATTTATTGGTTGGATTTGTGTTTCTATGACAAGAAGAACCAGATACCTCATGATATATACCATTTCGTTTATCAGCTAATTCATTAGGCTCATCAAAATTATTTCGACCTAAAAATTTTGTTTTATTATATTATTGTATGTCATTAAAAAATTGATTTTTTTTTCTCTCACCCGTATTGCAAATATTATTTTTTCCACTTGTGTTGATTACATCGTTTAGATTCTCATTCTTTTCTAATAACATTTCTTTGCCTTCAAAGGTATTGATACTTGGTACCATTTTTGCTTTCTCTGTTTCCTGTAAATTTTTTTGCACAACGTCAAGTTCCATTTCATCATTTAAATAAAGCGTTTTACGATTTCTATTGCTCTTCGAATTTGTATCAAAATCGGAACTGCAATAATCAATATGCTCGTTTAAATTTTCATCTCTGGGCTTGATTCCGTGTGAAAAAATATTGCCAGTTGAATTTAAAAGCTTTTCATTATTAAATATTATTGTTTTACGCTGTTCAGGATTTTTCGTCTCGCCTTCTATAGTATTAACATGGAAATTTTTATTCAAGCATGTTGCTTTAATATCTCCTTCAACTGGATCTGGTTGTAAATTGTCAATTTCCATTTCTTCATTCAAAAAAATAGTACGACGTTTTTCATTTGTGTTGGATTTTACATCCAGTTTGAAAGCAGAACAATGAACATCTTTATCTAATTTTTCTATTCTATTTTTCAAATTTTTAAACAAACGGTCGGAAGTTTCATGTGAGGGCTCTTCAATGTTAAATATTATTTTTTGTTGTTCACTTACTTTAGGCGCAACAGTATTAATACTTAAAGTTTCTTCTGAGAGTTTTGTATCGATTTCTGTTCGAATTTTATTTAATGGGGTATCATTTTCAATTGGTTCATTTGATTTAATGCATTTATGAATTTCTCCAATATTTTGTAAATTTGGTAACGCATTATCACATTCTACGTGATGGACTTGATGTTGGTTACTTAAAGCAATTTTGTCAATTTCCATTTCAACTTCACTTGGTGCAATATTCAAATCGTTGGTTGATTTCATGTACGATTGAGACTTTTCTAATGTGTGAAGATTTGGAAGATTTGGTGCCAAATATTCGATTTCCATTTCATCATTCAGAAACAATTTTTGGCGAGTTTTTGTTCCTTTTGATTTTGCATTGTAATCAAATTTGCAGCGAACGTTTTCAGTACTCGTGTTTGAAATTGTTTTCTGGTGATCAGAACTCTTTTGGTTATTTAAAAACATTTTTTCAATTTCTACTTCAAATGCAGTCGGTGCCGGTTTCAGCTCATAATCTGGTTTTACCTGGAATTCAGTTTTTTCAATTTTCTGTGAATTGTATATAGGACAATCGTATTCCATTTCATCATTGAAAAACAACGTCTGTCGACATTTAGTTTTCTGTGGTTTTATATGGGAGTTGGATACATCCAAATTGATTTCAGAATGTTCTAAATTTGAATTTTGAGCTGCAAAATTTTTTGTTTTACCTGTATTGTTCTTAATAGTGAGAACTGAAGGTTCGGCACTTGAAACGATTCTTTCTCTGTCCATTTCCATAGCATTGGAATAAGCTTCTTGCTCATTATTCGATTTTATATGCAAAAAAGGTGCATTTAATGTCTGCGGTTTTGGAATCAAGGTATCGAAACCCATTTCATCATCTAAAATCAGTGTTTCATGACCATTAGTTTGTTCAGCATCAAGCTCAAAATTTTCAGCATATTTATTCAACCTTGACTTTTCTTGTTCACCAGTAGTTACAATGCCTTCATTAGGATATACAGTATCCTGTTCACTATTTAATTCTACGTCGTTCACAACCTTCTTGACGCTTTGCGGTTTATACGGCGAAATACAAAATTCCATTTCATCATTGAAAAGTAACGTTGGACGAATTTTGCCTTTTTCTAGTTTTGTCGGACATTCAAAAAAAGAATTATCCATTTGGCAGTTTTGATTAAAAATTATTGTCTTCCTTTTCTCAATAAGTTTGGACTGATTTTTATCAACAATAATATTACTTAAATATGTTTTTTCTAGCTCCATTTTTTCTGCAACAGGTATGACATCCTCTTCAATTTTTTCATTATAGAAAATCGTTTTACGGCTTTGCATAATTTTTAAACCAGTTTTTGGGTAAATGTCTGGAGAATCGAACTCACAAACATCTAAGTTTGTATCAATTATCTGTGTATTATTGCTTGTGGTACTAAGAGTATTATTTTCTACAATTTTATCGCTTCCAGATTTCTTGTTATTGTAATTTTTCATTTTGTTTGTACTACTTGAAAGGGTGATGAATTCCTTACTGGAAACAGAATTTTCTGTATTATTAACAATGTTGGTTTCACGATTTTCATTTTGCACCAAATTAAAATCATTGTTATTTAAAATATCTGTAAATTTTGTTTTTTGCTGATTATAATTTTCTGATTTATCATGCATCATTGACATTCTACCAAAACTTTTACTTGCAGACTTTTCGATCATCATTTCAATTTTCAAAAATCCCTCAGTTGTATTCATTTTGTCGACAGACATATCAATATCAGTGTTGTTCAAATATGAATTTTCAGCCGCTAATGAAGATTCTCCAAAACGTTTTCTTGGTGATTTTTTTCTCAAACATTTCACAATATTATCAAATTCTGTAGCTTCTAAAGTTATGGAGCTTCCATCTTCTACTTCTACATTTGAACTTCCTAAAATATTCTGTTCTGACCGGTTAAGTGTAAAGTTTAATCTTTTGTCAAATTCTTTAAACGAAAAATCTTCGGCATTTATTTGATTTTGCCTTGTTTTATATATTGAAGACATATTTCCATCTTCACATATTTTATCTTGTAAAGGTCTTGTGCCTTTGCACCTTCCGTGTTTTATATCATTATACATTGAATTTTCCTTATCATCTGTTCCTAGAATTGGTTGAGCTATGAAATTTTGTTTGAATTCGTAATCCTGATATAAATTCCATTGAATGCTATTATCTTTAAATAAATTTTTTCCACATTGATTGTTAGCTTTTGATGAAGATGAATTTGCTGATTCTTCATAAGATGTTTCCCAAATTGTTATAGCGTGCTCTCCAGGACGAAATTCCCTAAAAATTAACATTATCATAATTTTAATTGACAATTTAATTTCCATCTTACTTAATTGAATTTTTTCCGGAAAAACTAATTTTTCTTTTACTTTTAAATGTTACACTTTCGGTTGGACTGGATTCTTCATTTGTAGTTTGCTTTTTTAATATCTAAAATTTAGATTTTATAAAAATAGATTACATTATGCATATGCAGATATCTACATTATTTATTATATAATTTTAGTTTTCAAAGCTATCCATATGTACTGTTTGTTTAGTAGCACCTAAGTATCAACTAAAACTGATTTTATTCATGTCTGATACAGTTTGTATTCCGTATAAGTTTCACATATATTAATAAAAATTTTCGTTTTTAACTTTATCAGAACATATTTACTTACTGAAACTCTTCTTTTTAAATTAGGATTATCCATATTTGTATTGGAGCTTTTGTAGCTTGGGATTACCAATTCTGTTCTTCCTTAATACCTACAATTGTTTAATACTTTAAAATTAAACCTTATATTTTTATAACAATTATCTCACAAAAGAAAATATCGTACTACAAATTTACACAATGTTGATATTAAAATAGAAGTTAACATTTATTTACTTCTTTGAATTTCAAATCAATTTGAAACACAACAAGCAGTTTTGTGAAGTTGGTAATATTGGTTGTCAAAAGAAAATTGTTCGCAGCGACTCTTGATGGATATAATTTGAAACATCAATTTCCCAATGCACAGACCTACCATATTATAATATTACAATAACAAAATCTTGAAATGTAGCAATACACAAAAAATTTTTGTTAATAAAAATTAACCTGTCAAAATAATTTATTTAATAGCCAATACTATCATTTGTGACTTCATTTATTGGTTTGGAAGATGGTGTTAGTTTTAAAAAACATTTCCATCCATACACAACCCGACAATTCATATTAATTTTGACATAAAATGTTTTCACTTTACTTTTAAGCTTTAAAGTTTGCATATAAATAATTATTTTGTTATTTTCAAAATGTTTAATTACTGGCATTCGTCATTATAAAGGCCATTAGTTTTAAACACCATAGCTGTTAGCCATTTGTTTTTTTGAAATATCTTTGAAACAGCAACCTTGTTTACTTTTTTTGATAAAAAATTTGAAAATTGTTTAATTTTTTAAATTTTTTCAATATGTCAAATTTTTGCATTGATTAGTAGTAGGATTTTAGCTTTAGTAGCATAAATTGTCTTGCTAGTAGTCAAGCAGACAGAAAAGGACAAGGTGAATATTTCAATTTATTAGCAAAATTGTTGAAAATGTATTGCAATTTTTTTGTCAACATTTTGCCAACTTTTGCCAACTTGCCTTTGTAAACTACGACTCAAGCTGAAAACAAAACAAGAGTGATTTTAGGAGGTAAAATGTCAAAATTCATATAGAAAACATATATCTAAATCGAACCGCTCAGAATCAAAGACAAAATACCGCCGCGAAATAGCTTAGGTTTCTATTTTACTGCTGGCGTTTTTTATTTTGACATTATCTCTTTCCTCTATGGTGTAACATTATATGAAAAATACTGTACAATTGATCTTTACGTTCCGCTGTTGTTCTGGAATAACAACAAAAATCGTTCATCGCTTTGATTATGTTTTTAGAATTAATTATGTAAGTTAATTTTCAGAAAAAATGAAAATAACAAGTGTGAAATTACATTAGCAAATTGAAAATATGTATATAATAAAACAAGCAAAAACATTTTAACGTATTATTCATGTACATAATACTCGGGTTTGAATACGTTGATTTTCATAGAACTTGAACCGACACTGTATATAATAAGTACATACGTATATTTGTGTACAAAGAACCTCTTCTATGTATATCGACATATTATAGAACCTATTGGTCAATGAGACCGATATAGCCTAGTATATGTACATTCGTCAGCTTGCCTTTCCCTTTGTAAACCACTCAGTACACCCATTGTAACGGATCGAATATAGTGGTTCTCATCTAATTTCAAGAGACTTGACAGTTGTACCGTTACCCCCATTGTTGCTTATATAACTCTGTTAAATGTTTTTTAAAAAACATTTTGTTGAAAAATAATTACTCGGCTTTTATCTGAATAAAGTTTTATCTTTTAAAAATAGAACATTCTCCAAAAAAAAAAATTAACCCACTAAAATAAATGATGGGTAGTGTGTATTGGAACAAAATAATTTTTATAAAAAATTTTATTCATTTTGGTTAATTTGGAAATTTCCTTGGTTTGTATACAGACTTCCATTTTTGAAATTCTTCATTCTGCAACAATACTTGATCAGTAAGAATTTCTTCTTCAACAAATTGATATGGTAAATAATTAATATTGAAAAATGAAAGCAATTGTCTTATATAAACTCTTCGTGCTAAAAAATCATTTTTAAGCCAAATATTAATTGCATAGTGATAAAGAACATCAATTGGACACGATAAATTTCGCATAGAACAAATTTGATAAATCTAAAATTAAAGAATAATTAGGAAAGTTTTTAAATACAATGAAGTAAGTATAAAGCTTATGTAAATTAATTTTGTCTACCTCTTCGTAAAATAATGAATTGATATGATGTTCAAGAAATATTTCAGTGTCAGCTCTAACGAATTCCAAGCAATATTGTTTCAAGTTTTCAATACTTTTTTCAGCTACAATACACAAAAATACAAAGTTGTTTTTTGTTCTTTAATTGAAAAATTTTAAATTGCATAAAATTACTTACTGGAATATCGCCAATATCGTAAACTTGTTTCTGGTAATATATTATTAATCATAATTTCCAATGCTTTATATGCTAAATCCAAAAATTGATATCGACTTGCTGCTCTATGAATTTCACATGCATTTTCTTTTGAAATATGAACTTTTCGACTATAAATAAATTCTAAAATCAATTTTAATGAATTTGAATCAATCCGTTCTGATAGGCTTTTGGCAATTGGATTTTCTTTAAATTAAATATAAAAAGAGGAAATTTCATATTTATTATAAATTTTTTAATATAAACAGAATATAAAATTAGCAATATTTAATTTTTTTTTTGTTTTTATACTTGTAAACATTTACCTTCCAACTTTTGACGAAAATATGGGCATGATGCAGCTAATACAACTTTATGTGCCATAAAACTCTTACCATCTAAAGCAATAACAGTAATATCAGTGAACTAAAATATTTCAATGTAGATATAAACGCGTTTTATTTTAATAACTTATATTGTATCACAAAAAATTTTACATACTTTATTTGATGTTCTAAAATAATTTAGTTGCTCTTTAAATTTTGATGTACAATGAAGATCGTCTTCAAATAAAACAAAATCCTCAAATTCATGTTCATTGTGCATCATGTTTGTATTCCAGATTTTATTTCAAATTAAATCAATATTTTGCATTAAAACAGTTTCATTCATTTATAAATACTGGAAGAATAATTTCATGCCCATTTATTAAACTGATATAAAATTATTATTGTCTAATCATAAGATATTTTCTCTTATCTTTATTTTAAAATGAGAACATGATTATAAAAAAAACAAATTCGTTATCTAATTGATTACTTCATCAACTATAAACATTTGTTTACTATAAATTCATAAAAATTCTGGGCATTAATTGTTTTAAACAAAATTTTATAATGTTAAGGGGTCTTACTATGTAATTTGATTTTTGAATTTGCAAAAATGGTAAGGTAGCACCCATTAATTTGTATTGTACTTTTTATTTCCGCAAATATGAAAATCGAATTGCAAATAATTTTAGACGGGGATTTTTGAAAATTCAGTTCTAAATTGAATCTTGATATAAAACGTGTTTGATAAATAAAAGCTAGATGATTTTCGATTATTCAGACATATACTGAAAGGGCTAAATTAAATCTTCTGAAAGCTTTTCTACATATACTTGCAAACAACTTTCTACAGAAATACTCGAGTAATTCTTCAATATGCAATATTTTTCTATTAAGTTCCGCTTCTAATTACTAATATTTTTGCAGTAGCTATAAAAAAAAACACAAAAATTCCTTTAAAACTTCATTTAACTACATCCGAACTACAAAATCTGCCATTTTTACAATTTGTAGTTTAAATTAATCATTCGTAATTTATTTTTAGACCTAAGTAAGAAATGAGTTATTGACAATTTTTAAAATTTAAATTTTAGCATGTTCGATAAATAATTTTTACTTTAAAGATTTCTTTTAAAAAGCCACAAAAATAATATTTTTAAAATTTAATTTGGAACTTCAAGTGCATATTTTGAATTATCGAAAATTCCGGATTATAGAAGGTACAGGAACACAAAAACTGGAATTAAAGTAGAACTATAAATAATAATCAATAAAATAATATAATAAAGACAAAACCAATTAATTTTTTCTTATTTTTTTCAAAATGAAGAAATTTTAGAAAAATTTTCTTAATTAAAAAAAAATTTTTCCTCATTTCAAAATTTCTTTTTTTTTACTTTATTTAACACATACTTTTTTTTTTCTTTTGTTTCACAATTATATATCCATAGTTTTTTTATTTTTAATTTTAATTTTTATTTATTTGAATGTAATTTTGCTTTTATCAAATTGAAAATTTATATTTCATAAGTAAAAGATTATTTTTTTAATTCCATTGATTTTCATTTTAAGTATAACCTTTATTTTTCAAATTTCATGAAATATAATTTTCATATTTTTTTACATAAAATTTCTTTGGATTATCCAATTTGGTTTTTTAATCTAAAAAGAAAAAAATTAAGACATAATGAATGATTTTATTGAAAAAAATTTTTAAAAAAATTTTCTTTTAAATTTTAATATGACATTAAAATTATTATTTTGTATTTCATGTGAAAATATGAGGTGGGGGGAGTGGTTCATATAAATTTAAATTTTATTCAAAAACATTTTACATTTTTAATATTCTTTAATTGATTTAACAATTATTTTTAATTTTGATAATAAATTTTGAGAATAAAAGTATACAAAAATTGATAATTACAAATAAAATGAATTTTTAAATTTTTAAAATATTGTCTAAATTAAATACTGATTTTTTTTTTTTTTGTAATAAAGCAATTTTTTAAATTGGGGCATAAACAATTTATTATTTTATATTATTGGGACATTTCTTAAATTTGTGTTTTTCTTGGTTTGAGAATTTTTACATGAAATACAAATTATTTGATTCAAATTAATTTCGTTTGATATTAATTTTTAATTTTTAAGAAAAATAAATACAAAAAAATTAATGAAAATCAATTAAAATGTCTTAATTTTTTTTGTGTTTTTCGTTTTTCTTTTTTTTTTTTTGTTAAAGATATACATTGTTGACAAAGTTATAAATTTGTTCACATAATTTTTTTATGATTTTGTTTTTTTTATTTTTGTTACATAAAAATTTTAAAAATGCCTATTTTTCGGTAGTAAAATATTCATTTAAATCACATTATACAATCTCTCTGGATTAATATTCTTAAATTAAATTAAATAAAAGAATTTAATTTTTATATTTTTTCTCGTTTTTTTTTTCCTTTTTTTCTTAATTAAATTCAATTTATTACAATTCATTTTAGAATTTTGATGTTAATAATTAATTATGATTAAAAATATTAAATTGATCTTAATTATTTTGATATTTTTCTTTATGATTTTTTACTTAAATTACAACAAAAATTAAAAAATATTTGATTTGAGTGTACTTTTTTTTTTGTTTTGTGTTTTATTAAATTTTATTAAATGCTTTATTTTTTTTCTTCTGAATCATTTTTAATTTAAACTTGTAATTTAAGTTACAAAATATGTTTGGAGAAAATTAATCAAAACTTTTTTGTGTTTTTTTTTTTGGTTCCGGAATATTTTTCCTTAATTCCTTTTCATCAAATTGTTACCATTTTAAATTAGAATTTGTTTTTTTTTCATTAGAATATTTTTTATGGCTAAAATATTCTTACACAATATTTTTAATTAATTTTTTAATTTCATTTTCATTTTTGAGTTTGGTAATATAAGATCATTTTTATATTGTGTTTGAAAATTCAAAAAAAAAAAAAAAAATTCATCAATTAAATTATTAAAAATACATGCATTATAAATTACTTATACATTATTAAAATTAACGTACAGTTCAGCTCAAATATTTTATTAATAAGTTTTTAAAATATTTTCATTTTTGTTAGTTTTTTTTTTAAGTTTAATATTTTTATTAATAGGCATTTTTTTTATTTTTCAAAGCATGGTTCTTTTGTTTGTTTATTTTTTTTTTTAATTTTATTAAATATTTTTTTATTCCAATCCATTTATTGTTTTCTCATGTTTCGAATTCCAATTTTGTTTTATTTTATTTTTCTTTTTAAATTATAACAAAATGAAAAAAATTATATAGAAGTTATAAAAGAACTATTTTTATTTGTAATGTTTAAATGATTATTGTTGAGAATATAGTTTAAAAAAAATAATAGTATTAAATTTAAGTGTACAATAAAGAAAAAATTCAGGACATTTGTTTGAGTTTTCTTAATATTATCAAAAAATATTAGATATACAAGAGATTTTAAAATTATTATAATTATGTAAAATAAAATTTCATGTTCAAGTGAAAATGAATTTTATTTTATACATTTTAAATTTTAAAATAATTCAATTCTTAAAAATACGAATTATTTTTTAATACAATGTGAAAAATCAATAATTTTAGAAATAAAATAATCAAATGCCTGCATATGATTCATTTTGTTGGATTTATTTTACAATTTTTAAAATTAAAGCAAATTAAAAAATTATTTTATTTTTTACAAAATGATATGGGGAAGCAAAAAAAAATTTATCTTATACAAAAATGAAATTCTAAAAAAAAATTTTATCAAATAAAATAAATTACAAAGTGCTTTTATTTAAACGGGATAAATTAAATAAATTAAAATTCAAAAAAATTCAAATTGTTTTTATTTTTAAGGGCAGTGAGTGAGTGTAAATATTCGAAATATTTATACTTAAAGCAATCAAATTAATAAAATTGTTATTTTGAAATGTTTCTGTTTTTTAAAAGAGAAAGATGAACAAATATACGAAATACATTCAAAGTTGTGATACAATATTAATAATTTTCAATTACTTGATATGAATTTTTTTCATTGACCATTTTTTATATACGACATAATGTAGGGTTTTAATAATATTATGTACCTTAAACGTCAACATATTATTCGAATACAAAAATTATTTATTTTATTAATAAAAAATAAATCTATAATTTTATATTAAAATTTTTTTTTTTGTAAGAGTTCACAACATAAGTATTGAAAATATTACAATATGTACATAAAATAGTTAACAATGAAATACATTAATTAAAATGCAAAGAAATTCATATTTAAATAAGAAAAATTCCATTTTGTATAAGATGTCATATTTATTATAAAATACAAATAATTAAATTTTTATATATTTGAAATTAATAGTTTTTAATTTTAAATATTTTATTATTAAAAAGTACAAAAAAAAAAAATAAAGCTAATTATAAGACTAAAAATGTAAAGGAATAAATGTGAGAAAATTAAAGTTAAAACTTTTCTTTAAAGATATTCTTTCGTCTTTTGAAATTCAAAATATAAAACAAAAAAAAAAAAAAAAAATTCATACTTATATTTTGTGGGAATTCATTTGAAAATAATAATTTTCATATAAAAGTATGATTATTTAATTATTAGCCCTCATTAATCATGAATGAATGATATTTCATGAATATATTATTATTTTTTTATTTAAAATACATAATGTTAATAATATCTCAATTATTCTTGGATTTTTAAGATCTTTTTTAATTTCTATTAAAAAAAAAAAATTATTATTTAAATTATTGTGCATTATAATATATTAAATTGTACTATAACATGATTATAAAAATAAAAAAATAAGCAAAATTTAATTTAACAAGTGCAATGTATAACAATATTTTGTTTTATATTCAAATCTCTTTAGTCAATTTGGCAGCCGACATTAATAATCGGAATACAAAACGTAATAATATTATAAATTACAATTTAAATTATTTATTTTTAAAAAAAAAATGTGTTTTAACAGAAAAATATGGAAAAGAAAATTAAAAAAAATGTGAATTATTAATATTAATATAGGGAATATTTTGAGAAATACGAATATTAAAATTAGTTTTAACATTATGTATTTTTAAATTTATAAGAACATATGTAGATTTATTGTTTTTATTTTTCTTTTATACAAAATTTTAAGTTTTTCTTTGTAATGGATTTTGAGTTTTAAGAATTTTGTTGTGATTTTAAGAGGGCTGTGATTTTATGTTTGGTTTTCTCTTTTTCATTTATTTTGTTTTTCCATTATTTTGTTTTCTTTTTTCTTACTTTTAATAAATTTTAATAATATATTTTGTTTGATGGTTTTTTTTTTATTTAATATCCATTTTAGATCAAAAATATGAGAAAAATTTAAAAAATTTTATAAGCATCTTTTTTTTATAAATATTTTATTTTCTTTGTTTGTTTGTTACGTGTTCGCTGTTGTTTTATTTAAATTTATTTCTTTTTTAACAAATTGTAATTATTTGTTGGTATTTTCTTTTTTAATTCTATAAAGTTGTTCATTTTTTTTTTGTAATCTTAATGAAAATTAAACATTATATTAGTAATATATTTTTCATTTTTTTGTGCACAATACTATGCAATACTGTCTACTGTGTTTTCCTGAAAATATAAAATATATACTATTTTATATATTTTAAAAAATATTTAAATTGTTTTTATATTTGGAAAACATAATTAAATTATGTTTTAATGTAGTCAAAATAATTATAATAATAAAAAAAAATTATTTATTTCTTTTAATTATTCATTTCGTTTTTTTTGTTTTTGTTATACATTTTTTAATGCAAAAATGTTTTTTTAAAAATATAATTATATAATATAAATATATAAATCAGTTTATTTTTATTTTGTTTCCTGATCATGCATTGAATTCGCATTGATTTCACTGTTTTTGTTTTTTTCTACTTTTTCATATCAATACTAAATTTTTAGTTAGATAAACAAAGAACAAATAATATAATTCCGGGGTAAGAATTGATATTATACTGCTATTTAATATTCTATATACATAAAGAAATATTTTTTCATAGTAAATTATTATTAAAACAATTTAATTATAAAAAAAAAAATGGTATATTCACTGCGAAAATTAAAAGGAAATAACAAAAAATAAATTTTAAATAAGTTACACGTAATATAACTATATCTAAATTAAGACAAAATATTTTCTATTCCGAAATATCCAATATTATTATTATTTTTTAAAAATATAGAAATTTCAAAATTGTGTATATAATATAATAATATATTCGGGAATAAATTGTAAATTATAAATTTGAATATAGATGATGTATGTCATCCAATTATCCAATTGTGATATTTTTTTAAATTTTAATAAAAGGTTACACTACAAAAGAAATAATTTTCTTTTTTAAATATCACAGTGAATATAATAAGTATTTATGTTTAAAAAAGTAGTACTATATACAAAATTCTATTTGAAAATTTATAAAACTTTATCACAAAAAAAAAAAGATACAAAGAACTACGTTTATAAAATCATTTTTATTTAATTTTCATAATTAACTTCATTTACCAAAAATTTTTAATTAGTTTTCTTTATGAAAAAGTTCATTTTTAAATATTTACTTTACAAATAATTTAAATTTTTTCATTTTAAGAAAAACATTTAAAAATTTAATTTTAAAAAACAAAACATTTACATAATATACTGAAATGTGATATTTGCAGGGTACTTTCATTTTTCATGTTCATTATTTTTAAATACTGGTGTATTTAATATTAATAAAAATATGTACCAAACATTCTTTATTAAATTCTTTTTATTTCAAAATATATTAGCAATTTTTCCGAAATAAACAAATTGAAATATATTAGATTTACAAATTATTGTTAAAGGAAATCATTAATAATTAATTCATTTATTTGCTGAATATTAAATATTTTATATATTTTATTTTTAAATTTAATTTTTTATTTGCATTTCCAAATATTGATTTTGCACATTCTTTTATTTTTTTAAACTATAAACGTCTATTTTTTCTGAATTATATTTTACATTACTAATTAAGCAAAGAAAAAGAAAAGTGTTTATTGCAATTGTAAAAAAAAAAATGTTTTCTATGAATTATGAATTGCAACAGCAATCACATTGGAGTCCAGTACATTAGAACATATTTATAAGTGAAATTCATCAGTTTTTAAAATTAAAAAATCATTATAATAAAAATATTAAGAAAATTTTTTAAAAAAACTCATTAATAGTTTTAGTAATAAATAATCTTGTGTTTTGTACATTTTTTATTTTTTAAAACTAAAAATGGAAGATCGTATATATTCTACAATGGCATACACTACTACTTTATATTTATATCATATTATTATATACATGCATTAAAAATAATAGTACATACATTAATTTACATATTTAATGAATGTATACATAAAATATACATATACATATTATATAATTATGCATAATTATGCATTTCTAAAAACGATAATTTCTTTTTACAATTATTATTGTATTAATTAGGTCACAATTATGTCAAGTTTAAAAAATAATAAATACAAAATATTTTTAATTAAAAATGAAAAAAAAAAAAATTTAAAATATTATTTCATTGGATGCATAGTATGTACACATATTTATTTATTTCCTTTGTAAAACCTTTCTTCATTTTTAAGGTTTATGAAATTATTATTATAAAATGCAAAATATTTATTTAATCATTTTTTCAAAACAATTATTGATTTTTTTTTCCTTTGCCTTCTCATTTGTACAAAAAAGTAAATTTTAATTTTTTTTTTTAAATAATGTTAAAACTAAAGAAATAGTAAAAATTAAAGTTAAGTTTTTAAAGCTTTACTTAAGATATTAGTTAGTTTTGTTTGTTTAATTTTTTTTCTTTTAATATTATGTAATTCTTAAATATTTTTGCATTTATTTGTAAAATTATGAAGCAATATCAATCTATTATTTTTTTTATTTTATTGAAAATTCTAATTTATAATTTGAATTAACTTTTTCTGGTTTTTAGTAATTCTTAAATTTAAAACGTCAGTAAATAAAAAATGATTACTTGTAAAATTATTTTAGTATTCCATTTAAACTTCTATACTCCTAATAGATTTTCATGAAAAACTGTATTTTTTATTTGCAAAATAATAATAATTTTCTTTTAAATATAATAATTATTATGTAATATAGAAATCTTTAATTCTAATAATTATAAATTCATTTATTTCACTGAACGAGCGTTTATATATTTTTGTCAAAGGACAAATAAAGAAAAAAAAAATTTCATAAAATATTAATATAAATATTTAAAATTTTAAGTTATGAATTCATTATAAGACTATAATCAATTTAGAAATTTAATTTCATTAAACTTTCTATTAAATTTTTATAAAGTAGTAATCAAATAGTGTAAAATATGGTACAGATTTAAAAGCTATATAAGTACATAAATGATTTTTAATTATTGTTAAAGAAATTTTTTCATTAAACGATTTTTTCTTTTTAATTTTTCATTTTTCAAATACATACAAATGATGTATTTGAAGTTTTTTTTTTTTTTTAAATAAAAAAAAAAAACTTTTTTACCATATTTTTGATCTAAAATGGACTGCATGTTTATATTATTTGTATGTATATTAGGAGTTTCAGAATACTCTATAAATATATTTTAAAATACAATTATGAAATATATATTTTAAACAAGACTTTAAAAAAAAAATCAAAAAATTACTTCATAACTTTTACATATAAATGAAAAAATTATTATTTTTACTTTGTTTTAATATATATAAATATATATATACATATATATATTTACAATTTTTCTTTGTTTTCTTTAATATCATCATTATTTTCTCTTTTTATCTTTTAAATTTAACAAAAAACGTTAGCGATGAAATTTTTCGTAAATGAAAAATTGGTCCATGAATCAATGTTTGGATTGAATTTGATATTGTCTGCAACTATATGTTGCGAATTCAATTGATTTTTTTCTTGTTCAGCTCTTAATTCTTCATGTTGTTGTTTTAGTTTCATAAATTGTCTTTGTTGATTTGTACAGCTATTAATTAGAAAATTATGATGATTATTAATAACTTTACTATCAATAATAAATTTATGATTGTTATTCTTATTATTATTGATATTTTCCTTGTGGTTTTGATCTTGTACAGTTTGACCACGAGATTTTTGTTCATTTGATTTTTGTTGTGGTTCTTGATCTTGCTGTTGCGTTTGAAGCTGTTGATTTTGCAAATTATGAGATTTTCTTCTCATATTACCACCATCCTTATTTTCATTAGAGTTCTTTCGTTGCACGCCATTGCTAGTTATTGTTGATTGTAAATTACTATGTTGTCCTAATGATTTTGTTCTCAATCGAACAGAATTATTATTATTACTATTGTTATTATTACTAGAATTGTTACAATTATTATTATTATTGTTATTTGTATTATTATTATTGGTATTTATATTGTTATTGATATTATTGATATTGTTATTATTTCCACCATTCTTATTGATACTACTATTGTTGTTATTATTATTATTTGAAATTTTATCTTTATCCTTCTTACTTCCATTAAAATTGCTGTTGATGTTATTATTATTTATGATTTTATCGCAATTAGTACTCCCATCGGTGCTAATGCAAGAAAATAATTGCCTTTTGGAATTTGCATGTTTATTCGATGAATATTTAATATTATCTTCGAAAAAACGTTTTTTAGTATCGCCATCCTTGTTGTTGCTAAAATAAATATAAATTTTTTTAAAAACGATTCTATAACTAAATATATCCAATTTTACCAATTAATTTTTGATGCGCTGTTATTTGCTTTATCATATCCACATGACTGTTGCTGGTGTACTGAACGATCAACATTGTTATTACCATTGTTCTTCATGAAATTTAATTTTAAATTAATACCATCAATATCACCCATAGATTTATGACGTTGTCTTTTATTTTTTTGATTATTGTTATTATTTTTATTCTTATTATTTTTGATATTTTTATTATTATTCCCGTTATTAGCATTATTTTTATCATTATTATAATTATTGTTGCTATTATTTTGATTATGATTATTATTGTTATTATTATTATCATTATTGTTATTGTACATATTATCGTTATCATTTTTATTAAAATTTTTAATATTATTCTTATTATGATTATTATTGTTATCAATACAGTTAATATTCTTATTATCATTATTACTGTCATTATTTTCGTCATTACTATCGCTATTTTCTTTATTCTTTTTATCATTATGCATATTATCACTATTTTCATTAATTGTTCCTTTTAATTGATTATTACTACCATTATTTGTATTACTGATACTATTTTCTCCCTTTTTAAAATCTAAATTAAATTTCTTAGCTGATGAATATGGTTTTACAAGGCCGTTTCCAGTACCACTGTAATTATAATTTCCACTTGGATTATTAGTATAATAATTGCTACAACCATTGTTATTGTTAAATGTAGTAATAGGTGACGATGATGAATATTTTCTTTCGATTCCAGATCGATTGTCACTAATCCATTTCTTTAAACGTTTCATAAATGGAATAATCATAAAAAATGAGTTTGGATTAACACCCAATTGTGATTTACAATTAGTATCATTTTTAGTTGTTGGTAATGAATCTAATGGAAACCATTCACAACATTTAATCTCCTTTCGAGTTCTGGGTAAAAAATTTGTACTTGTAGGTACATTTCTAACTATGTACAAACGCGTGTATTGATAGTTTATTACACATTCAATATAATGATCGGGCACTATCATATTTGTTATATCGAAACCGGTTTCTTCATATACCTGTTTAACATTTGTAGATATAAAATTAATGAGCATTCACAGAAATATTTTTTTTAAACATAGAATAATTTTTTAAAATAATAATGTAATAATAGAAGTGCACTTACTTCTCTTGTTGCACAATGAACAGGACTTTCATGCTCGTTAATTTTGCCCTTTGGAAAACCCCATGAACTCTTAGCCCAATATGACTGCACTAACAAAACATTTTTGAGATCTTCAGATACCAATATGGCACCATATGTTGGTACTGATAATTTGTACTCTTTCCAGTCTTCTAATATCTTATCAACTTCAGTTAAATAGATGCATAAAAACGGAATATGCTGTCAAAAAAAAAAAGTAAATCATATTTTAGTTATATTACATACGTAATTATTGAAATATTATGGCCCAAAACAATATTAAAAAAATAAATAAAAATGTATAGGTATATGTAAGTGCAAAAAATTATGTTCAGAAAAAAACGTATGTAATCATTTTGTTTACGTAAATACTACCTGAAATAGATGTGAAGCAAATTGCTTCAATCCACATGGTATTAATTTTTTTTCTTCATTTCCACAAAAGAAATCCAAATAAAACCAATGCGCCAATTCAATTTGAAAACAAATTCGTATGAAATTTTGACGCTCGTCAACTGGAGTGTTAATTATAAAACGACTTGCTAAATCATCTAAAATATCGGACGGAATTTGATGATGTAAATTCTGGGATATCGAGGATGATTTTGCAGTATTATTACTAGTATTGCTACTGCTATTGATTACCGTTGTTGTTGAAGTTGTTGTTGCTACAGAAGATTGCGATGTAGATTGCAATACTATAGTTTCAACATTCTGATCAATAATGGGAACATTAGCGCAATCTTTTTCTGTACTTGAACTATTAGAAATTACACTGGAAGGTATTTTCACCGTGTCCACTTCTCCCACTCTATCCTTTTTTATTGAAGTACAATTAGATTTATTAACTAATGCTGCTAAAAATGCCAAAGTCGCTGCTCCAGTTTCATTCTCAACACTTATTGATCTTCGTAACTGAAGTTGCATCGTACTTGTTGATGTAGATGTATTCAACATTGTTGTTTTAATAGGCGATATTGGAGATATGCGACATGAACTCATTTCTTGACCACTTTTTTATATTTTCTTCCTGCTTCTTTTTTCTTTTTTTAATACTTATTATTGCTTTTCTTCTAGTGGCTCTTTGTTTTGTGTATTTCTAAAATTTAGCAAAAAATATTTTTTTTTGTTCAAAAAACATATTCAAAAAAATTTGATTTGCAAAAAAAAAAAAAATGGAGGATTAATCTAATTTTTTTTCACAGCCACAATTATCAGCCATGTAATTGAGAAATTTCTACTATGGACTTCCTTACATTTTTATAATTGAAAAATTTCCTTATATTAGCAATTTTTTATCCTCTAAATGGTGTATTTTAACTTTAACATAAACTTAGGTTCTAGATTTATAATTATATTCTAGAATTTTCACATTAAAACGATTAAATTATTATAATATCACTATTTTAAAATTGTTGAAAAAAAACTTATTGCGTTTAAGCTAATGGCTGCCATTACTAAAAGTAAATAAATAAGTTCATTAAAAAAGGTCAGAGTATATGAAAATGAATTGGTAGAAAAGAGATAAACATATTGTCATGACATACTTAAAAATTCTACATAAGGTGGGGCACCTTTTAAAAAAATTAAATATTCCAGCGTGACATCTAGCAGATTAAATTTTAACTTTATATAGAGTGGATAAATTTTTTTTGAGGTATTACCGGTTTTAAAGATACTTTAACGAAATTTTGTCGAACTACATTTATGAGGCAATAAATAAATGTCATAAAAAGTCTTTAAATCACTTATGCTTAGATTTTTCTAAAAAATTTAATTTTATTTTGACTGCGGGAATTTTTGTGTTAAATTTAAACAAGCGGGGTTATTATGTAAGCGATTATGTGCTCTAAAAAAAAAAGTTTACTAAATAGTATTTATGTGGAAATTAGCGCCATTATTAGTCAAAGGGCGAAAATGGAAGTAATAACTTGGAAATATTTCACTTAATTGTTTGAGTAATGAAAACGAAGAAAATAGAATTCAATTTTATTCATTAGAATAGAATTCAAAAATAATTGTTTTTCATGTTGACTAATTTCATATTGTCATAAACATTTAAAATATTTTTGCAAAAGTCTGATACGTAAACGTACAAAATAAACCTGATGTGTAAATGCTCATCTAATTTTATTTTAGATTAAATCGTAGATTTAGTCTGATGTGTAAATGGCATCTGATAACTTTCCGTTTGTTAAGTTGTTAAAAATTTTGTTAATAGATGGCTAAAATCGCTTAAAAGTTTAATTGTATTGTCATACTGACGTTTTCAACTATAATTCGAATTTTTAATTTAGAATTAGAAAAGCGGCAAATCAAGCAGTTTTGAAATTGAAAATCGAAGAACAATTTAATAAATTAATATTATTTGTAATAAAACTTATAAGAAAAAAATGGCTCTCCGAAAACAACCAATTGTTTCTGCAATTGGAAATGAAAATATAGGAATAAGTTAAATAAAGATTGTATAATGAATAAAATATAAAGTAATTCATTTTTTTTTGATTTTAGTGTCCAATGGAATTAATATAAAAAATAATTTAGCAAATCGTCCAAAATCAAAACAACCGTTAGGAAATATAAATAACACTATTCATAATCAATTAGGAAGAAATAATGGAGGGACCATTGATATTGAAAGAAAGAAAAAAAACTTAATTCAAGCAAATAATGAAAAACAACTTCCAAAATCTTGCAAAATTTTTCAAGATGAATTCGACGACTTTTGCAGTTTTAAAAATGATGACAAAAGTATCTAAAGTGCATTATAAAAAAGTGAACTTATGAACTAATTTTTCTTTAAAATTTTAGCGCCTGAACAAAAATGGCTGGATGAAGAAATTGCGAATTCGCGAATTTTCGAAAAAATAATTGAAGCAGACAAACCTAGAACCAAACCAATTACAAAAGCCGAGCTAGATTGGATTGAATTTTTTGAATTTGGAGAAAAAAACAATGATATTGCAAAGGACATCGATTCGAATGATTCTTTTGAGTTACCAGAATTGGAAATTCCAAAATTACCAAATATTAATTTTAAAAATTTACGAGCACCCTCTCCACCAATTCATCTTTTTGAAGATTTAGACATATCAGATGTTGAAAATATTTTGCAAAATGATGAAATGGAGGCCCCAACACCTATTATAACGGCAAATTTTGATGACAGTTTCAATTTTTAAGAGTTTATCGAGCTACATACTTATTAATTTTTTTTTTGTATTTTGATTAAAATTAACATTTTTGTTTAAATGTAAATATTTACTAAATTATGAACTATTCATAAATTTTTTTTTGAAAAATTTAATTTGTATGTAAACATATGTTCCTAAAATCCTATTAGGATGACTTAGTGAAAAATAATTAAAAATGATTTCGAACTATGACATTGTAAGTACATACAAATGAATCTATTTATTATTTAAATTAAAAGTTTTCATATTTTATAAATTCGTATTCTTTTTATTTTTTCTTTTCTACTCTTCGCAAAAGTAATAAATATTTGCTAAATTGCAGAATATTAGTTTGGAAGTGATGAGTAAGTCCTTTTTAATCATGTTATACATGTATACAAAATGTTCCTATCTGACTTTATTACACGAAGCAAAATTACCTAGATCATTTCAAGGAAATTATCATTGAAAAAGTATTACGCTTTATTTGAATAGGTAATTGATAAGGAAGTGATGATAGAGTTATTAAAGGAAAGGGGTTGCTTGAAAGATATTTTTGTTAATTATTCAAATTACGAGTAGCTACAAAATTTCAGTATAATATTAGAGTTAAACATAAAAATGTTGAATTTATTTAAATTTGTAGTTTGAACATTAAGTAGTTGCTTGGGCTAAGTTATTTTCAAATTGTGCTTTAGTTCCAATTTGCTTTTCACAGGAAAATTTAATTTTATATTTTATTGTCATTTATTTATTTTAATTTTTGAAAAAATTTAAGAAAAAAATTTTTAAAGAAAGTTTAAACCCATTGTTTTCAAAATGACTTACAGCGAAAACTTGCGTAATCGCATGTAATTATGTAAGAAATGTTTTCGCTTTTCAATTTTCCATGACAATTTTTAACTTCCTCAAAATGGTTTATACTTTTCTGTTAAAATTTTTGTTTTAAATGAAACCACTAAAAAGGACACTATTTTCTATAAATACTGGTTTGCAAATTTTATTTTTTTTTCTGATTAAGTTTGGAAAGTTGCTTCAACGCTGTTCATATTTGGTGCGGGTTTTGAAAATGATAAATTACTCATTAAAGTACGTTTAATATAAGTTTATTTTTTTGTAGGAAGGACTTGAAAGGATTTTGCTTTGATTATCGAAAAATAATTGAATAAATTGGAATTGTCTCCATTTCAAAATTATGAGATTTTTAGCTGAACAAACTAGCATAATGAATGCATCGTATTCTTCTCTTAAATGTATGTGTAAGGAATGTGTGCGTATACCAAATGTATACCAAAAACAAAAATAAAAATTAATCATGTTTTGTTTTTAGTTTCCCTACAAGATTCTTTTTTCTCTTATTTGTATTTGAATGGCTTACAAGAACCTTTGTTTCATACAATAAAAAAGGACTTTGTTGCTGATTTTAGTAAAATTATTTAAAGGATCATTGGTAAACCTTTGAAAAACGTTAAAGTGAAAAACTTTTTAATACGTTTTGTCATTAATCCTTTTTTTTTATTTATTTGTTGTTGTTTTCTATTATGAATTTTGATTCTTTTTATTCACACTATGTTGAAAAGACGGAAAAAGAAGATCCTTTTTTTTTGCTTTAAAAATATTATAAAGGAAAACTCCTTTAAAGCTTTTAAAATTTACATAAAATTAATCAAAATATTTTTATGAAAAGATATTAAAAGTTGACATTTTAAATGGATAATTTGTCAGAAGTTTTTTTTTGGAACAGTAAGTTTTTGTTACTTCCCCCTGGCACCTCTTTTTTTCTGTTGTAAAATTCAATTAATTTAATTTTTTTTTGGAATAGTTTCTATGTATATAAAATACGGTTTCAATTGGAAACTTTCTATAAAAATAATGTTTTATTTTAAGGTTAAAAATGAGATACATTAGTGTGCTTTTGATTATTCTATTAAAAATGATTTTGAATATCGGATTCAGAGAATTATAACTTTTAACGTTATAAAACTTTGTGCGAGTACTTTCCTATAATTAAGTAAAAATAAATGATTTTATAATTTGAAAACCATAAATAAAAACTAAATTTATGTAGATTTTTGAAAAATTTATTGTATTTTAAATTTGCTATATAATGGGGATTATTTATGTATAAAGAAAATGAAAGCGAGGTGGTTTTACGTTGGCCGAAGAAGATCTCAACATGGAAACTCATTCTGAAAATTTCATTTTGTTTTTTCTGGACATAAGAGCTAAATATAGAAATTCAAGAATATACAACGCTAAATTTTTCTGTTGTAAAATTTCCAAGGGAGCCAAATTATGACAAGGGGGTGTCTTTTCCTAGGATTACCGCTCCAATATAAATCCAAAACTATTACACATATTTTATAAAATTTAAAAAATTTAATACTTTTTCAATATTTTAAATGATTGAAATCATACTGCGACATTATTTAAATTCAGAATTTTATCAATTTTTTTAATCTCTGTATTCTAAAAATGTATTCTAATACTTTTAAGTTTATCATTTTTCATTCTTTTACTTTAGGGTAAAAAGTTTTTACAATCCGAAAGGTTTTTTACAATCTGAAATTATGGAAAAAATTTATTAGATTTCCTGAATGAAAATGTTGAGTTGGAATTTCATATGATGTACGGTACAGTCAATATTATACACTCGATATGAGCACAAAATAAAAAAGATTAGGTTATGTTGATAGAAGAATTGATAATCTAGAAATGATAATCCTTTCTTTCGTAAATATTTTTATTTTAATTTTTTGTTTCTGGTCCTTTTGAATGGAAGAAAAAGTGTGTAGGTTCGTCATTTACATTATTATTTGATTTTTATTTTCCAAATCTTCAAAAAACAAAAATGTTATTTACTTCCGTCTTGCTTTTTTATTATTTTTATTTTATTTAATTTTTTATTTATTTTTCTTGTGTTTTAGGTTCTATATTGGGCTGCTTCTACATATGTACATCCATATAATATTTCCATTTTATATGGGGAAGAAAATTAAATTAAGAAAATTTGCATTTTTTGGCAGAGTTGAGTATGATTGACAGCGATTGGACAATTTTATTAAATTTACTATATGTAATATTGTAATATTTAGGATACGGGTACCTCTATCCAATATCAATAAATTTGGAGCATTGAAAAGTATTCATCCCAGAATGTTTGAATAATTTTTAAAGGTAAATATTAAATACTCGTATTGTAATTTTGTCTTATATGTAGAAGTAGTGATTGAATTACAATTAATTAGATTGAAATAATATGGAATGGTCTATATAATAAAATATATATATATATTTTCCTTTTCTATTGCGCTTCGGTCCAGTAATCTAAGGTCTTTAAAGTAATAGGCTCCTATGATGAACTAGGTTCTGCTAGTTTACTTGGTAAGTTCGCAAATTCTTTTTTCTTCGCTCTTGCGTCATCATATTGTTTTTCATCAAGGTTTTTTTTTTCTTATTAAACAAACACTGATTCATTTCACGGACCTTAAAGACCAACGCAATATAATAATAACGTAATATTGAAAAAATATGAAAATATTATGAAGTATAATTGAAATTAAATAAAATAATTTTTTGAATATTATTGTGGAAAGTACTCGTATTTCTCTAGTGAAAATAAACTTAAAATATGATTCGAGATGTAGTTTTATAGAATATACTTCGGGATCTTCCTTAGAAGTAGTTGGATGATTTTGAAACTATGTAATTCTTCAATTACCGGGATGACATCCCACCGGACTCCAGTATTACTTTCGACCACTGATTTCAGAGTAAAAATTTTTTACAAAAGGTAAGAAAAAAAAGGAAAAATTTTGTGATAATTTTGCTTAGTTTTGTTTTTCTTTTCCCAAAAAGATTTCACTTTAATTTTTCATTCATAAGTTTTGCTACTTATAGTTTCTCAGAAGGATGGTATTTATACAATTTCATGATATTGTTATATTCTGCTGCTTTCGTTCTTATGTTAGGAACTAAAAAAAAATTCGTTTTATTTTGACCATTATATCATATTTGTTTATTTCATAAGAGTATAATAGTAAAAATTGCTAACACTATAACACAAAATCGAATTGTTGACATATAACAGTAAAAATTTTATATATTTTTGAATCATATTTTCTGATTATTGTATAAAAATTTAGAGAAAATTTTGGCGCATGCTCTTTTGAAATATTAGGAAATCTCGCTAATAAATAGAATATAAAATGAAATAAAATAAAGAAGAAAATTTAAATAAATTGTAAAGAGCTTGATATTTAATCATAACGCATATACTTACTTATCCGTATAATAATTTCGTTCCCCAATTCACAAGATTTTGAATTTATTCAAAATACAATGTATGCATAAAACTAATAGAAATCGGTAGAATAAATTTGCAACTTCAAAATTTTTGAATATTATATGAAGGCTTTTAAAAAAAAACTATTGTTATAAGTGTTAAATAACAATATAAGAATACAAGAGTATTCGTTATAAGAAAAATTTCATAACGGTAATTTATTGTATTTTGTTTATGCTACACTGTTTCTTACTCAATTATTTACTTTTAGAATAGCTTCTATATGTGTTATCAATTTATTTTTATCTCTTAACTTTGTTATTCCGTTTCATACATTGTACAACTATAATTTATTCTACTAGTATACTATAATGTGTTTTGTAACATAAGGGAAATTTAAGAGATTTTTTGAATCTCTTTCTGGTAGTGAAATATTAATTTTTTCTCTCCTTCATGTATTACGTTTATTTACAATATGCTATACATTGCATTCGTAAAATTTGTGAATAATTTTCTTTTCTATTTCATTATACTTCATTCATTTATATTACGAGAAATAAAATAAGTGGGTAAAAACTTAAAAAAGGACTTTTTTATGTTCTCTTAGAAAAGGTGAATATACAATATTATTCTATCCATATACAGTGTATACAGTGTATAAGAATTATTCTTTTGATAAAATTCCTTATTTAAATATAGTGTGGTAGTAATGTTACTGAGAGAATTATTAATATTTACCGGCATTCTAACATTAATACTTCAGTTATTGTTTAATATTCGAAGAAAACACCGAAATTTCAGATTTTAGGTATTTTTGAATTTCGTAAAAAAGGATTT